AGCTGTTTTTATCTACAGATGCCGTGGGTTGCCTTTCAATGTGTCTGCCAGAATGAACAAACCAAACACTGGCTGTAGATGGGGACTTTTGGGTTTTTCATGAGTGTCGCGGCCACCGTAGTTCCTCCTACGTACTTCACAGTCCGTTCTCTGCGATAACGTGAAAGTGATTGCTTGTAGTGGCGAACCTACCAATATTCTTTCAGCTTTTCAGGTTTTCTGGCCTGCAACAAATTGCTTTGGTGGACACTCTGCTGTCATCAGCGGCAGCAGGCAGTTCTGACTAACCCAGTTTATGCTGCTTGCCCAGCACCAAACAAAGTTAGCAACTCGCTATTCAACAGAGTGGAGAATTTAGCATATTTTTTCAGGAGTTAATAAAGTCAAAAAGAGAGCTAAAATGAGAGTGAGGATTGCATTCACCAGGTAACATTACATTAGCCTAAAACAATGAATGCTAATGTTGTCTGCTTGATGTGTAGACATCAGTTTGCCAAAAGTTTGACCATAACAACTTTGATTGTTAAATTGTTGTGCTAAATGATTAATTAATGCAAATTTAACTTTGTCTATCTACAAACTCTTAAAGTTTACCTGTTGCAAAGCTAAAACTGGCATGTGGTCAAGCAGGTCAGTTGAGGTAGATTGATGGGAACAGTGGCTAATGGTGCTTTTCCTGTAAAAGCAAATGGCAATGTGCTTTGGACAACAGCCAGTCAACAAAACCAAGATAAGAAAATCTCACCAGCTTGGTAATAAACACTTTGTGACTTTGTGCATGTGTGTGCCAGAGGGTTTGGCTATTTGAAGACTAAACCAACTGCCACTGTCACATAAAACTAATTAAAATCAACTGACTTGAACAATTACTTTGTTATTCCATTAATCAGGATTTATTTTTTCAGCACATTCTCAACTCTGATCAAGAAGAAGCTCTCATCAGAGCATTGATGTGTCACGGTGGCTTATGTGATTACTCTCATCATTACATTAGCAAGTTCGTGTGGGAGCTCAGCAAAACAGCTTTAAATGCACTAATATATGGAAAGTGAACAAGGGGATTCTGCCTAATGTGAAATATTAGTGGTTAGTCAGGCAGTTAGTCCTGGCTACCCCTAAAGACCCCGGAAGACACACACACACACACACACACACCTGTGTTTGTATGAATCTAAATTCTGTCACATCTAACTAGTGTTCATGAAACTCTGTATGTTTGTGTTTATGTGTTACTGTATCTTGTGTGTATATGCAGCCTTGGGGGATGCTAATGAGTTCATCGTGCTCAGTGATCTGAGACTGATTCACTTTTTTTGTGTTTGCCAGTTTGATCCAGCTGCTCTTGTTTTTAATTGCGAGAAACAATAAGAGAATCCAATAAAATGATAAGACTGGAGAAGTTAAATTCATCTGCACATGAGCTGTTGTATGAACAGTTATGCATATGTATGTATTTACCACCATTCATGGTAATCATTAGGAGAGGGCATTAGAGCTTTCATTTTCTGCAGCAAACCTGATTGGACCTGACCTGACCTGCCTGGTTCGGGCCCAAAACTGCTGCCATAGGTCGGCTCGTTTCTTTGGAGTGGAAATTTGGGTCGGGCTTGGGCCCAATATAGCTTCTGTGGTTCGGGCTCGGGTGGTTCGGGCCTGATTTTTTCAGCCCAATCGGCTAAATTATTCTACCAAAAGAATGTTTTAGGTTAATCTAATGAATTAAATACCTTATATTTCAAGAAACTTGATAGGTTCATCCATTATTACCTGTCCTATTACCTAAATAACTATAACTATAACTATCTTTAATGTACAAGGATAGTTAATAAGTGTATGCTTTATTTACAATATTTACAATATTTTCACCGCTTTACCTTGATGTCAGACAGCCTTTTTCAACAGAAAACTGAAGCCGTTGTATCTATCTGTTCTATCTCCAAAGCCAGCAGACTAAACCAGATATAAATGCTTCAGTTTCCTGTCGTAAAGGGTTGTGTGACTTCAAGGTAAAGCAGTGAAAATATTCTAAATGTAGCATACACTGATATTGATTTTCATGCTTCCCACTTTGAAAAACCTGAACTATCCATTTAAAGGAGAGATACCATAGTATATATATGTCAAAATATATATATTGTCTCAGGGTATACATCGTCACATTGCCCAGTAACCATCCGATTAAATATCGATTAAATATAATATAATATAGAAAACCTTGATAATATAATAATAAAAAAATAAATTTCTGGCAGAATTTGTGGATTCCTGTCATGTATAATTGTTTGATTAGATTTATTATAACTTATAAGATAGCTCTGATTTTCTTGCCAAGGGTGACATGAGGGGATTGAGTCCACACTGTGGTTAAGTGTAAAGCTAGAGCTAAGAGGTGATTAACTTTGTTTAGGAAAAAGGGGGAAACAGTTAGCTTGGCTCTCTCCACCTCCACCAACCAGCACCTCGGAAGCTCACTAACAAATATGCTGTATCTGGTTTGTTCAATCTGTACACAAACTAAAACATAAAACAAGCATGTATACAAAAAAAGCAGATCAAACTTAAATGAGGGAGCTTCAGAAGTGTTGATTGGCACATTTTTTAACTCTTGACAGAGACAGGCTAGCTATTTGCCCCTGCCATTTGTGAGATATCTTCTTGCTGCAGAAATGCTCTGGGCATGTGATGATTATATCCTTGCAAAAATGTCAGATGATGTTTTCAGTCTAAACAGCAGCATATGCTGAGCATAACGCTGTGAGTGCATGATATAATCCTTCACATAGGAGAGAGAGGAGCAAGATGGAAAAGAGAGATGAACGGGAAAAGATTAGAGAGGAGCGTAAACATCAGTTCGGCTGCTGGGTTTGGGTCAAATGCTCCGTCTTGCTTTGTGTCCCCTTTCTTCTTCACTCAGTCGTTTACCTCCCTTGCTTTGTTCTCTTCCTCTCTCTGTGTCTGGTTACCTCTCTCCTGACCTTCAGGAGCAGACAGGGAAGCAGACAGATGTACTCTGGGGGGTTAAACTACATATCCAGCTGCTTCTCTCCATCAGCCAGCTGAATAACAGCATCACTTTACTGAGCTCCATGCTTACAGAGGAGGTTGCCTCATTTTGATTAGTTGACTCAAGTGTTACATACACAAGATGGTCTGATGAAAACTCTTATAGTACGTCATGCTTACTGTACACTGTAATGCTTGTGCACCTGGAAGATAATTTCATTACACCTAGAGTGACCTTGCATCCCACTCAGTGCATTAAATCTAAATATAAAGCATCAAATCTAAGCTTTATTTCCCACCTATAGAAAACAGCCATAAAGAACAGTGCACAATGCTGACATCATGTATGATTAAAGTGTTCACCATCCTGGTAGCTCTTCAATCTAAAGGTGCACACTGTTTTCTCCCAATTCATTGTTATTCCATCTCTTTGTGCTATCTTCACAGTCAAACTCTACATAATAATGCAGAAACACTTGAAAACCTAATTCTGAATGCATTCAGTTCCTTTGCATTATCTACACCTACTTACCCCACCATAACCCTCATTTCCCTTTGAAGCCTGCTGATCCTCTGTGGCTCAGCGCCGGTGGTGGTACCAGTCATAGCCGGAAAAACCCCAGTTAATCTGTGAGGGTCCGCTACAGACACGGAAGGAAGGAGGCCTTTTGTATTTGGTATTAAAACTCCATACGAGATTGCAGTCTACGCTCTATTATTAGACATGAGCTGTTTAATCGCACAAGGACCAAAAGACACAAGGAAATAGAAATCAGGGTTCAGGACTTTGAACGTGCTTAATTAACCAGTTGTTGTAGAATGGTTTTGATAGCCACTGCAGCAAACTTGTCAAAAACAGAACCTACAGAACCAACATATCTGTAAAAGGTGACATTAGGGAGATTTGGCTTACATATCAGTGGTTAAATGGTTATGGGTGAATGAGGAAGGAGGGGTTCTTACCCTGAGTGTGCCGTATGTTGAGCTGGTTAATCTGCTCAGTGAACTCATTTTCCTCGATGGTCTCAGTGCGAGGAACAGAAAGAGAGAAACGCCTTTTAAAGTTCTTCATCTTGTTCATGGTGCTGAGGAGCCGACTCTGGGAGAAAAAGAGACAGAGAGAGAAAGAGAGAGAGAGAGAAACAGAGAGAGAGATTCACCAAGAAATACAATAAATCCTCTGATCCATCAGTGAATACAGCATCAACACATTCTAATGCTTTTCCTGAAGAACGTGCAATATTTGTTAGAAAAATAGATTTGAACTGTTGTTATGATGTACAGAACATATTAGAACACAAATCAAAGAAATGTAAGTGTAAACACTGCCTACGTGACACGAGTTGTAGAGCGTGATGTGCAGCTGTGATGGATCTTTTTGTGCAGCTTGACCAAAGACAGTCTTCTGTGTCATCTGATAATGAGGCAGAAAGCAGCAGGAAAGCATCAGATCAATATATTCTCTCCCTCAGTAGGTTACATAACCACGGCCAGCCCTACTAGTTAGTTTCTTGCCTGCCGTTTTCCCACTCAACCTTTTATTCTCTTCTTTTTCTCTGGTCTGTGTGCTGCAGAGACTGGTGTCATGGGGTCTCCTGTACTGACGTGCATATGTGTGTGTGTGTGTGCGCGTGTGTGTGTGTGTGTGTGTTCGTGTTTTGGCTCATTATTATAAAAGGCTAAGAGATGTGGATAGTGGGTTCAATTACAGCAAGGCTCAGCATTGCCTACTGTTATTTTTAAGCCTCAATAACCCATCAGGATATTGCTGTCTCTGAGCGATCAGGGTGTTGTCAGATTATACTGACTGCTGCAATGTCTGTACAGTGCAGGTCAGATGGCTGCCTGAATCCAGACAGAAACATGCACAATACATGCACAGAAATGCACATAAAGTTGTTGTAATAATCAAGCTATATTAGCAACAGAGATCTTCTAACCCACACCATAATACGACTAATAAGTAATCCAACGGTTGAGTAATTAAAATATATATAAGGCTTTCAAACATCAGCATCATGAGCTGTGCATGCACATGGGCTGTAGCACAAATGAAAATGACGATAGTTTATGGATTATTTTTATAACTTTAAACTGCAGGAATCACAAAAGCAATAGTAAGTTTGCACAAAGCTGTTTAGGTCTGATTATTTTAAGGAGGACTAATTTGCAATGAATTCTGGTTAAATTTGGGGCTTTTTTCAAACCGTAAAATGTTTTGGACCAGGGAAACCAAGCCCCCGGGAAGAGAACCAGGCTTCGAAGCCTTTTAGGCCAAAGCAGTCAAGGCCCCCCACATCGATACATATCAGGCTGCGGCCCTGTAATTGATAAGATTTAGTCTCAGGGAACCATCTGATTAGTTATTCCATAACTCTCTGTACTGATTGGCAGAATAACAATAAAGAGTGTGGAACCAAACCTCGTTCTTTTACGTTCTCTCACAGAGCTAGCTACTAGTCAATGAGATAATAGTGAAACTGAAATATTCCCCACTTTTCTGGGGACCCCTGGGACCTCATCAGCAACCCCAGTTTTAGAACCTCTGCAATAATGTTTGGAAAGTCTAGAAGAGCCATACAAAGTCTCTTGCTCTATGGGCGTGCAATTCAAGATACGGGTAATTGGACGAACAATTTTCATGCACCACTAAGCGACTTCAATAGGAATGAACGGAATGAACTGGCCTCCAACGTTGTATCCACTTCTCCCTTATTACATCCATGGTCATGCCACTTAGCTTGCTTCACAATCCATCAGAAAAAGTTGGCCTTCCTAATAATTCAACAATTACAAGGATATTTTACTGGGAAAATTCAGCAGACTGCAACAATGTAAAAAAAGAAAAAAATCAATAGTAAACAGTAAATAGTACTAATCCCACAGTTGAGAGGAGCATCAAAGACAGGCTCAGGCTGCCTCCTTGGGCAAACAAAATGATTGACAATGTCCTCACTGCTGTACTGTATAATTTTAAAGGGTTACTCTGTCTGTGAAAAAAAACTTCAAACTGCTAGCTTCACAACATTATTATCAAGCCATAAATTAACAGACACATTTTCCTCTTTTGTGTCATTTGGTGCCACTGGTCAGGAGGTGTCTCTGATTGTTACCATGGAAACATGATTCTTAGCTCAGAGGGTAGGGCGGCAAAACTTTTCAAGCTTACAAAATACACAAATATCTTTCTAAAACCGGCCACAGGTCAGAGCCCTGGATTTTAATGTGGTTTTACACAGAATGAGGAAGAAAGCCTGTTTAAAAGTAAGAGCTTACACTATCACTGCATGGTTAGAACTCTTATAATGAACAGTGCCAGACTCTGATCAAAACATTAGTGATAACTGTCACCCTTGTATTACTTAAGAGGAAAATCATTACAAACAGGTGTGCAGAGTCCCCTTCTATAATCTTGTGTGGCTGATGTAATAACACTCAAAATCCTGAACTGAGAGTTTGATATGAGTTCATTGCCTTGATTGCATTCTAGATGATGTTTCGCACCAATGTAAGACATCTGGCAGAAATTAAACAGGCATTAAAGAGTAACTAAACCCCCAAACCTTTTTTCAGCTGAAAACCTCAGCATATGGATATTGATTAGTGTTGTTGATTGATTCATTGATTGACTGAGTCCAAATCTGGACAGTTTTTGCAAAGTATTGCTTCTTCTACTAGTTGAAACCCAGTTATTGCAATAGAATTTTGTTATTGGCTGATCTGGAGGCAGGTGACAATAATAATCAACCAACCCCTGCTTCCATAAAACCAACGTCACAACTCTGCAGAATGTGACCTGCTACGTAGCTGAAGCCTGACGCTCTAGTCCCTCTGAGCCGCTAGCTTAGTTAACGTTACAGCACAGGTATAACACAGAAGCTTTTACAACAGCTGTAAATGGTCTTCTAGTGACTGTCGAAGTTCCAGCGGACTCTCTGTGATTTTTGTAAGTGGGAGACCTGTCGATAAGGCAGCCCATCAAATAAAGGCTCAACCTGTCTCCCTGTAATTATTTTTCATTTCTGTATATGCTACAGCATCTAGCTGTCCCTCTGATAACACAAAAGAAGTGAATGAATAGCATGGGTTGCAGTCACAGAGAGACTCAAACATGGGCTCTGACAAAGTCTGGATGAAGGTTTACTAAATTATTGTTTTCATGGCCTTGGTCAACTCTGAAGCTGGAAATAAGAAAAGCTATTTGCTTTCCAGCAACCTCAGCACAGCCAGTCAGCTCAGGTTTACTTGACAAATGCTGTGTAGCATTAGTTACCTAAACAACTTGCGCTGTCCTGGTGTCACACCACTGATCAACAGGTGGCGATATAACAGGTTAAGTTATGCTGCAGTCCACCAGTAAAGGCTGGGAAAAACTTTTTTTATTTATTTTTATTTTATAGTTTTATTTATTAATTTATCTACTGTGTAAAGGTATGGGGAAACACATAAAAAACCAACACTAATCTAGTTTTCATGTTATAGAGGAGAGCTGTAAGAACTGTAAATTGATCTGATTATTGTGAACCAAACAACCAACTTTTTACTAATTTACATGCTTTAAAATTTTGTGATCTAGTTGATTTTAAATATAATGTACAAAGCACAAAATAATTTACATCCTAACTGTATTCAGAGGTTGTTTGAAATGAGAGAGAGCCAATGTGAACTCAGGGGAAAGGGTGAAGACAATTAACCCCAAAAAATAGATACTTTGTGGGATAATTTGGATAAGGAATTAGGAATGTGTTGTTTACTTTTAAAAAAACAAAAAAAAACAAAAACTAAAACTAAGGTGGTTAACAAATATAAAAGTAAGGTATGATCATTATTGTGCTTGAAATGTTTGGAGTTCCTGTTTCTGTTTTGTTTTTCTATAGCTTTAACCTAGTATGACAGGGTTGCCTATTAGACTTATGTAAAGAGGGAAGCTATAATAAGCTAAAGCTCCAGCCTACACCTTTCCGGTCAACAATTTCTTCTTTTCCCCCTTTTAATTTAATGCCTAATTGTTTTTCTATTCATTTCTATGTGTATTCATTGTGGACAATTGTTCATATGGACCAAAATAAATTACTACTACTACTAAAATGACATGTACAAATAATTAAAAATACTTTGCATAGATATAAATCCCTGCCCTCTCCTGAAGGGTGCTATTTTAATTGTGAAATCAGATTCAGACATCAAACTAATTATGTCCTATATACAGTATATGTTTACATACAGTATATAAGGTGCAAGATATGCAAGGCTTGGGAGTTTAGATAAAATAATGAGAGCGTTCTCAGAACCAGAGTGTGGGCGGCAGCCATAAATTGAAGTGGAGAAGAGGAAGCAGCTCAAAAGGCGACGGTTAAAGCAGATCAGTGCAGAGAAAAGGAGGATTTCTAATTCAGCAAAGGAGAGCCCTTTAGAAATCAATCAAATTCAGCTCATGTGACCCTCTTGGTAGCACAAAAGAGCAAAGTAACTGCTACAGCGCTGGTACAAGCAGGAATGCCAGTCTTTTCTGTGGTGTTCATGACACACAATCATGTTCAATAAGCAGCTAAAGCAGCAACAAAGACCTCAGCTTTATATTTCTAGAGCTGGAAAATGCTTCTGGCTCAGTCACACGCTATTTCTTCCATCACAACATTAACATCTATTTCAAATGTACAGATATCTCAACAGCAATCATTCCTGCTCACTATAAGTACTCTGATGGTCACATTATGCAGCCATACAATTGGCTACAATGAACATAAAAACCAGACAATCAATAGGCATTTATTATTAACTGTCAGATAAAATACACAAGCTCAGAGAAGCGTATGAGTTTAGGAAAATTAAATAATAAAAAGCGATCAGATACAAAGCAGATTAAAGGGTTAAGAATGGAGGAGGAGAGAGGCTTACTCTGCAGAGAGAAATCAATACCCTTAGGCTGGCTAAAGTCCTGGTGTGTTTGTGGTTGTGGCTGATGTTTTTCCCTCTGAGAATTTGTGAGGCCGCCTTTGTGAAAGCATACTTCCCTGGAGTCTTAGCAGGGTAGAGCCACATAGTAAGGGAGCACCTCCAGTACACTTCATACAGGAGGTCAAATGAACAAAAGGACAC